TTTAAAATTAAGTAATGAGAGGAACGTCACCCAGTGTTACAGTTTTTTCATTGGAAATGTTCTCGAGTTAAAGTAAAAGTACACACCTTTAAATCTACTCTTAAAAGTACAAATTTTCCAAACAATTACTCAAGTAAATATAATGGAGTAAATGTAATTCATTAATACCCACCTCTGGCGGTCCCACTCCAAGTGGCAAATAGCAGCCCAAGGAATTTTACTATGGTACCAGTTGTCACTGAGCCCATGGAAGTAACCGCAAACCATTTCAAATGCATCTCATTTACAACACCAAAGAGCCCTAGTGGTAACTTACCACAGATATTCAACTAAATATGATGATTTTGGAGGCTATTATTCATATATTTAAACAGAAAAGGAGAAGCCATGAGAGTTAAGTGAGAGAAAGATGTTAGAATTACTGCATGGCTTCGTCAGACAAAGCAAGTTTCCCCCAGCTAGACAGTTCATGTAACATTTGGAAAGATGGTTCTTGCTTTTGCGTGAAATCCATGAACATGGGTGCAAAATTGTTTGTGTGGGGCCGAGCAGGTTTGGAGCATGACAACAGGTCCACCACCACATTGTCCTTCCCAGGTGCAAACTGCAATCGAAAATTATACTGTCGCAGCCTGTCTGCCCATCGCTAGAGGCATAGAGGACAATGGTTCATGCCTGTGGAGCACATCAATGAGGTTTGACAAGGTCGTCCATGCTGGAGTGAAAGTAAGGCCATATAGGATAATACAGCATCATTTCTAAGCCCACATGCATGCCAAGGCTTTGCTCTCTGTAACTAAATACTTTGCTGATGGAGTTTTTTGTGACAAGTGCTCTGATGTGAATGCCACAGTCTTCTCCATGTCATTATGCAGTTGTGAGAGAAAAGTTACCACAGGTATGGCAGAGGCATCACACATTGTCCAGTTTCTTGGCATGTCTTTTTGAAATTCAATAGAGGATCTGTGGTGGCAAAATAATGGAGTAGTGGCAAAATAATGGAGCAGAATGTAATGCCACCATGCCTAAAAAAGCCTTAATGCTGGTTGCCAACCTTCATAAAACAGAAGCAGAAACAATGCACAACTACTACTCTAGCGTGGTCAGATATAACAGACAGTATGCAGGACTTGCAGGTAAACAGTGAGGGAAAAAAGGAGCAATACATCTCTGTTATCTTGAAATACCACCAACCTGTTCACCCACCTCCACCCCGTTATCTTGCAGATTTGGCCACTGTACAGAGAGTAAGTTGCAATTATTTTGTTAGCCTTGAAACGGGAAATGATGCCTTTCTATGTTTTATTATATTTACATTGCCCTGGGCTTTTAGTCTAAAAGTGTGCTCATTCAGATAAAAAGTTACGGATTATACTATGTTTACTTCAAATATCTTTCTTTTTTTTTACCCATAATAGTGTGTTAAACTCTCACATATTACAATTACAAATTACTTATGTTTCATTCATACTAAATGCCAGAGGGTGCCCTTACACAGACTCATAGGAGTAATACAATTAAAGAGGTTCCAGGAAATCCCTAATATGGATGAAAACATCCTGCTATAGCTGTAGTTGAATAAAATACAGACAGAGACGTTTTGACTTTTTTCTAGATACTGTTTACACAGTACCCCAATCTACTGATCTGACAAAATACTGCAATGGTAAATAGATAAACCAAGATGAGAGTCAGAAACAGGCAAAATTAGATAAAAAGCATGATATTCATATTATAATATTATAGCATATTAATACTATATTAAGAAAACATGGAAAGTCAAGAACAGAGAATTTTAGGATCATCTCAGGCAAGAAATATGATCACAGAACTTGTTGAGCTCAAGCTACTACTTTACATGCAAGCACAGTGAGCTGACAAGAAAGAGCAGTGACAAAAAGACCAGCAGTCAACTGCTATGGATTGTTTTGATGGCCGATGCTGATATCTTAAAGGGGTCATATGATGCTTTTTTAAAGATCATTATTTTGTGTATTTGGTGTAACAGAATATGTTGACATGCTTAAATTGTAAAAAAACCAATTCCCCTATGTAGGTCCTCTATGCCCCGCCTCTCTCAAACGCTTCGTTTTCTACAAAGTCCCTCCTTCCGACAAGCGCAGTCTGCTCTGATTGGCCAGCTGACCCAGTCCATTATGATTGGACCGAACACCGCACGCACTCGTCGGAAATGTAACGCCCCTTTCCATAATCGCGAGCTTCATCTTTCAAAATAAATGCAAAGACAGAGCCCGAAAGGGGAACAGAGTCACGTGACAGACACAGTGATGAAGCTGGTATGTGTGCAGTACACAAGCCACGGTTAAGACAGCTGACTCCAATGTGATCTCTCTCTCTCTCTCTCTCTCACACACACACACGATGAGCAAAACTGTTAAAAAAAAATTGAGCAGTCAATAGCAAATACTTAAACTAATAACAGTAGCTGATTCAGAAGTGCCAGATTGTCATAGCAAAGTCAGAATTACCTCCTCTCCTAGGTTCACGAAACGGTCGTCCATAAAATGCATTGCTGTTCTGTTGTAAGTAATCTTAAAGATTTCTAAATGCATCTACTTTCGGAAGGCCAAATAAAGTGCTTTTGCTTTCGCCTAGAAACACACAGCGTCTCTCTGACATGGCTGCTTCAACACTAACTGCGGTTACTGAAACCACGTCTTCTTTCTATGCATGAACATTTGGGCTGCATTATGCTAATATTTCCACATAGTGAGGTAGATATGTGGGGGCGTGTTAGAACGAGCCGTTTTAGGTAGGCGTGGTTAACTCTTAACTTTTATAAAGAATATCTCTTTGGTTTTGAGACTTTAGTGTTTGCAACTTTACAGATCTTCTTTATGCACCAAGAGCTTGTAACACTCCAAAGAGAAAGGAAAAATTGAAATCGCATCATATGACCCCTTTAACATAAACTTGTGTGTGAATGAGAACTTAGTTTAGTACTCGCATGCTGTTACAGCCGCTTTCTGTCCTTGTGCTTAGAATGTCTTCTCTCAGAAAACAGTATATCAGAAGTGGTTTAAAACGCATGATTTCAGCGCGATAAACATGATAATCAGAACCAAAACAGATGTTTTTAGCAGGTCCGAGCTGTAATGGCACATCTCTATTCTGGAAAAGGGGGTGGGGAGCAGCAGCTCATTTGCATTTAAAGAGACAGGCCCGAAAAACAGCGTGTTTCCTGCTTCCAATAAGCATTTTCAAAATAAGCATTTTCAAAATGATATAATAAATGATCTGTAGAGTATTTTGAGCTGAAACTTCACAGACATATTCTGGGGACACCAGAGACTTATATTACATATTGTAAAAAGGGGAATAATATGTCTCCTTTAAAGAAACCTGAAAAATCTACTCTATCTACTGTTTTCTACATAATAATAATAATAATAATAATAATAATAGGCCTAATAATAATAATAAATGTTTTATGAGCAGCAAATCAGAATATTAAAGATTTTTGAAGGATCATGTAACTGGAATAAAGATGCAAAAAATTCAGGATTGAAATCACATGAATAAAATACATTTTAAAATACATTCAAATAGAAAGCAGTTATTTTAAATGGTAAAAATATTTCACAAAATTAGTACTTTTGCTGTATTTTGGAACAAATAAATGCAGGCTTGGTGAGCAGAAGAGAATTCTTCAAAAAAAATAAAAACATTAAAAATCTTTCTGTTCAAAAACGTTTGACTGGTAGTAATCGCAGGCTTGTTAATTATTCCTGAATTCTCACTCCAGGCTGAACTTAAAAGTTGTCAGCCCTGTTTAAAGTAATTGAAGTTTTAGGGTTCCTGAACAACATTTACAAAATTCACCAGCCTACAAGTTAATGACATGATAGAAATAAGAGAAATAAGTTTCAATAGACTAACATTTGAAGTTATGGTAGGAATGTATAGTTAATGTGGGGTAATGTGAAGTAATCAGCAATTGTAGGATTTATTAATGCGTTTTTTTATGCCAGGTTGGAGTTATACACTGATTTTCTGTCATGGTCTATGGACCCCCTGAATTAGCCTTGGCCACCCCCTGGCCACCCCATATATAAAACTCTAGTTCCGCCACTGGTTCTGTGTGCCCCCATGGTACCGCGGGGGTGTCCAGTACACCACCGATGATCACCGTTTCAGCTGAGGGAGCTCTTGCTTTCATTTGAGGGTGCTTTTCACCATGTGAGAAAATGAATGTGTGGTGTGAGTCATGCTGAATGCATGAGAGTTGGCAGTCCTGCCATTGTGTAACGTTTACTACTGAAGTTAACCGAGTGAAAGTGGGGTAGTCCAAGCTGGTGCGATTTAGTGTCGGTTGGGACTAATTTGTATATTCATGGTTCTGCGTATACTGAATAAGGTAAAGGGTATCTAAGTTATATTCACGCCATATAGGCATGAAGAAATTAATTTAATTGGAAAAAATGTTTAAATATGACATTTTGATTATCAAAATGATGAAATTTAAACTAAATTAGTTACTGCAGGGGGACTTTCGTTTTTTTAATGCTTGAAAAACAATTGCATACCATAACAGCCACGGTTTAAAAATATATAATAACTAAATTATAAAAAACTAAATATTGTCACGTTCATAAAGTGACAGAAAACTTGCAAAATAATTTGTTTATTAAAAAAAGAGCAACAGCCAGGTGACAAAATGCTTCTTCCTCGAAGCAACAATAAAAACATCTCTTTCAAAATAAAATCTATGGTACCTAAATTAATTTCACAGGGCTACTTCCATCTGCATTAAGAGTTGTCATGGCATTACAAGGATAAGTCCCACATTTATCGTATCTTATCTATAAATAAATAAATAAATAAATAATGTAAGAATAGGCAATAAGATAAAAAACGAATAAATCTAATATTATTAAATAAATGCCCGTGAATCTAACGCTCTGAGCTGAAATGGCAAACAACCATACAACCCAGCAGCGTCTCCTTTCAGGAAGTACAGATCACATGATCACTTCAGTTTCCTGTTTACTACTGGCCCTGGTTAAAGTTCCCTAGCTATATCCAACACGGATAGATTTCATTTCAGCATTCACATCGCTCTTCTGTATGCCTTTACACACACCCGACAGTTTTGGGGTTGAATACAACACGGAATGTTTTGTCTCCAGATCGAAATCAAGTTTAATTTAAAACTCAAGGATAAAAAGCGTGTGAAGACTTAAAATCGTGTGGATTTCCTGTGATTAGTGACCGGGTTATTTGACATGAGTTCTGGAAAAGAAACGGGAATTACAAAACGCGTTCTTTTTGCTAATTTGGAGAAATAACAGCGGTGAGAAGTTTTGAAGTTTCTCGCGTGTCTTACAGTACCGTCGGTAACGGGTTATTTTGATCACCAGTACTGTGGAGGGGAATCATCCCGCCAGGACCCTGAACTCGGGACGCGTCACCGGCTCCGGCCCCTTAAAGCGGGCGGTGAGGAAAAAGCTTGCCCTGAAGGGATGGCCTGGAGGATCCTCTCGGACCCAGGGAGCTGCGCTATATAAGGAAGGCCGGGTTCGAATCGAGCAGAAGGCGGGTGACGGCTCGATAATGGCTAGCCGGAGCGAGGAGATTACCGAACTGCTCGATGTGTTTTCAAAGAGTCAGTACAGAGCAAGGGAGGTCACCCCGTCGGTAAGCCCGAAGACATCAAACATCAGTTAATTCCTTCCCATAATGCAAAGCAGCTGTTAAATAGGCCAATGGCATTTAAGAGTGTCCATGATAAAGGAAAACAAGTAGTTTAACACACGTGCCAAATTCATATCAATGTAGTCTTTGTATTCATGTTGGTTTAATATGGTTTTGGAAAAAGTTTATACAATTGTCAAATGAATAATAAGTAAATAAATAATAATAAATACATAAATTAGTTAATTTGATAATGTCATGTGGTATAAGTAAAAAAATCGATAGTATTTACTTCATAATGTTCCATAATAATGCTTTCATAATTAAGCACTTTTCTTCAATATGATAGCAGGACAGCATTATCCAGGAAGGCATTTCAATTGGTTTTAAGGCACAGCAGCTGGAATCAGCTCATATGACTTTAAGGAACTTCCAAAGGGAAATTGATTTCATGAGCCATGAGTCTTTTCTTTACAAAGTCACAGATTAAGCAGAGAAAAAATGAATAAATGTTAGACATGTTCTTCTTTATTTTACCCTTTGTTTATTTTTTTTATTAACTTTGTATGCTAATTTTGTTGAAAAAGGGATGAGAGATGATGCTGACGTTCTAACACACCATCACAGTAGTTAAAACTAACCCACAACCTTAAGACTGGTTTAATGTAACTATATGTCCTGTCTATATAGACCACAGTAATTGTAATTTGTCCACAGTTGTAATCTGTCATGCTAACCAAGAGACCATGCGTTGAGTATGCATAGCGTCCTCAAAGGGAATGCTTGTGAACACCCTTCTGAAAGGGATGCGCACATAGGGCCTGCAGGTGTCCTTGCAGAATGGCACAAACACACCAGTGCAGAACTATAAATGCAAACAGTCATATTGAAGTTATGGAGTAGATCAGACGTAGCAAAATAACAGGCTGAATTTTGGGTTCGAACTAGGGGTGTGCGATATTAACAAAAAATAATATCTCGATATTTTCTGGGATTTTATCGATAACGATAATTAGACGATATTTTGCTGAGTGTGTTATTGTGCTGGTATCTTAAGGACTGCCATGGACAGCTGACTTGACATTCTTCATATTCTGGGCAGTGGTCAGTTCACACTGATAGAAATCAATATTTTCCACTAAGTTTGAACTGATTTTTACATTTTATGGGCATTTTGACTTTTATAAAGCCTTTTTTTTCTAAAAGTGTCCATTGTCTTTTGAATACTGATATTTGAAATTATTTAAATAATAAAAGATACTCTGCATGTGAAATTAAAACTGCCAGTAGGTGGCAGCAAGTCACTGTTAATAAGTGAGTCAATGCAATTGAACCGAATCATTTAAACGATTAATTCATTCAGGAACAAAACTGCGTCATGTTGCTCAGAGACGCAAAACAGCGCTGTGGTTGTGTTTGGAATAATTTTTTGTTGTCAAAATAGCGCAAAAATAGGAAATACGGTGTCTAAAGCATAAGTCTCTTAATTAACTTCTTGTTTATTGAACTGTTGTAAAACAAAAAAATCAATATCACAGTTGTAATCATTGTCATTTTTGGAGAAAAAAAACGGCACTCTTTGTGTGAAATTGATTAACTAGGCTATTTTAAGTGGTATAAATATATACATTTTCTGCCCCCATGTCTTGAATTTGTGATCATTCTAAATGTGTTGTAATAGACTGCACAATAAATGCACGCGCGCACTAGTCTAGACTTCACGTAATGTATGCGTGCACTCTGTAGGGGTGTTTTGAAAGTTTTTTGCAAAATACTCAATAATGTCAAATCGCACATCGTTAGAACAACAATTACGATATTATCGCACACCCCTAGTTCGAACTTGTATTGTCTACATGAGCACTATGGCTCAGTGTTGTGGTTAACATTAGGTGTTGTCTCAGAGATGATGAAAGTGCAGGGAAATAATGCAGGTTCTTGTCAAAATGACATAACCATTCTCATATTTCACAGGCAGTTATTGTTAAACTGGTTGCATAGTTAAAATGATTTGTACACTTAAAATGATTAGCTTTTACTGCAAATGTGAGTAAACAGACTTTTAGCTCTGATATTTGCTAAATAAAGGTGGCTAAACCATATTGAACAACTTCTTCATCCTACTATTTAACAGTTAAAAGTTCCATTAGAATATAGTCAATTTTGTCTTTAAGAAAGTATTTTCATAGCGTTAGCATGTCTTTTCATAATTGACACATAATTTCATAATTGACATTTTTAACACCAAAAAAGTAAATTACTTTAGTTATGAGCAGTGTTGGGGCTGGTTAAAGTTCCTTAGCTAGTAACGCGAGTTACGTAATCAGATTACTTTTTTCAAGTAACTAGTAAAATAATGCATTACTTTTTAATTTACAAGAGAATACCTGAGTTACTTTTTTTTCCAATTTATTGACTGACAGTTCTCCTGTCCCCATGTTGAGAGAAAGCAGAAGATGTTACTGTAGTTCTAAAAAAAAGAAAGAAAATGCATTAATTCATCTCACTCACAAAAAAAAAAATACACAGATTCAGTATTCCTCAAAATGAATAAAAATAATGCAACTCAGAATATGATGCAAACCTGCAATAATTAAATGTTAAACAACACAAATATCCTTTATTTATTTAATACCACTCTATTAACCAATGTCTTTGCTTCTGACCTTCGATGATCCAGTTCAACCGTACTAATAAGCAAAAATTACTCTAGACAAACATTTGTGTGTCTTTTTTTTATTGCTGAAGTGTGTTGACATTTCTTCTTCTGCATTCTACTGTACGGACGTAAATTTACTTTCCCTTCAGCCTGAGGCTTATTCATTTCAATTTTGGTGTGAAAAGGCTTTTATATTTGCCAAAAATATAACATTTTATTTTAAAAACAAACAAGCAAGTCCTGTCTAGATTTAAAAAGTAATGCAAAAGTAACATAATTGATTACTTTCCATAAAAAGTAACTAAGTAATGTAATTAGTTACTTTTTTTATGGAGTAACGCAATATTGTAATGCATTTCTTTTAAAAGTAACATTCCCCAACACTGGTTATGAGTCATATCTGTTTCTGATTGTTGCTGAATTTAGAGGGTTGAACTTGCTCTTGTTCTTCTGATAATTTTTAGCTTTATAAAATGTTATATATGTATTTTCAGGTAGAGAGAATAGAGGAGCGCTGTTTGGAGCTGTTTGACCGGGACTACAAGTACAGTATCATCCACAACACCAATGGGGAGGTGTGTGGTCACTACCCACGGAAGATTGTGTTTCTGGAATATGAATCTTCAGACAACAATAAAGAGAGGTAAAAACATCCCTGTCTCTTTTAGTCTACTGAATACTCACAGTAGACAGACTAGTTGTTAGTTATGTTGTCAAAATAATCAGTTTTGAAAATAAAGAAGCACTTTATATTTATTAGAGCTGAAACGATTCCTCGAATACCTTGAGTAACTCGAATACAAAAAATCATTGAGGCAAATTATTTGCTTCAAGGTTTTGTTTAGTCCATTTACTGTAACTACACATGGAACACAATGTTTCCCCACAGACCATTATTACTGACGCACAATCTGATAAATGCTGAACCAGACCATAGACTGTATAAAAACAGGAACCAGCCTTTTAAAAAAAAGCGCTGGATATATTTAAGATTGTAAATCAATATGGTGGCTAGTTATAATGTCCCCACGTTAGCTATGTTTTGTGAAAGACTAAACGCCATTGTGCATAAAAATACCACAGAAATAAAGTTAGTCAATATCACACGAAGAGTGCCAGTTTTCACCTCTAAAATCAGCATGATTACAAATGTAATTTTATTCAACAGTTCAATAAACAAGAAGGTAATATTATGAGACTTACGTTTTAGACACTATACTGCCTGTTTTTGCCAACAAAAAAAAAATTCCAAACAGCCGCAGCGCTGTTTTGCGACAGTGTTTCGTTCCTGAATGAATCAACCGTTTAAATTATTTGGTTCAGTCGCAATGACTCACTTCTTAACAGTGACTTGCTGACACCTGCTGGCGGTTTTAATTTCACATTTAAAGTATCTTTTCATTTTTAAAATCATTTTAAATATCAGTATTCAATGTTTTATGTTTAAAATAACAAAATATTATTTATTCTGCATTGCAAAGATGAATTTTGATACTGATATCATTAGTTTGGTAACAGCCCAAATGTCTTTTATTCTAATTGACTGATTAATTGTAAGAATTTGACTCAAAAGATGATGCACACTTTTAGACAAAAAAGGCTTTATAAAGGTAAAAATGCCCATAAAATGTAAAAATCTATTTAAACTTATTGGAACAGATTAATTTCTATCACTGCTGTGACCTGACCAGTACACAGGATATGAAGGATATCATAAACAAGTTTCACACACACACACACACACACACACCAGTACGTATAGGGACATTTAAGAGGGTTTATTCTCCAAGTAACTCAATTAAAAAGTCAAGTTACCTTCCTGTCCACTGATTTTTGCCTCTCACAAAAGCCACAACGCCTTCCAAGAAGACAGTAAAGGCTTATGTTATGCTTGAGCTTTAGTTAGGCTGAAACTTGAAAGTTACGTTGCATGACATAAATGCAATGTTTAGGTATTATTATTATTTTTATTACTATTATTTTGATTTATGCCTTAGTTTTAGTTTGTACTGTTTTTAGTACCTTTTTTAAAGTAATGTGAAATAGATTTTTGTATTTTTATTTATTTATTTATTGATATATTTGTATTTGCATTTTGAATGCAATTAGGCAATTAAATACATTAAATGGGTTTAGTTTTCACGGTTATTAATGTATGCAATTTCAGCAATAAAAATTAAAATTTTTCTAAAAAGAAAACAAATTAGTTGTTTAATTTAAGAGATCTATCTTATCTCTTGTATATTTAGTATTGCTCTTTAATAAAGAAAAATGACTT